CACCTACATATACTTGAAAAAATATAGCACATATGTATGAGACATATTTATTTCCTCTGTAGGAAATGCTTGGTGCAAATGTAGATCCAGCACCTTGCCTCCACCCAAAGGTCACCAGTGGCTCATCTCTAATTAAACTGAATGTACCTGTTTCTGTTTCTTTCATGTTCTCCACAAAAGGGGTGCACAGAGGGGGGATACTGCATAAGGTTGACCGAAGGTCTGGGAACAAAAAAATGACCTTAGTTCACATTCCACCATCTATTAGGCCTCCAAGAAATTGTCAGATCATTGCTAGCTCCTAGAAGGAAATTTAAATAGCCTGTGATACTTATTGTTAAGGAATTTTTTTTTTTTAAGGAATTAAGTGGAGACAGTCCAGAGAGGTGGGGAAGACTATCACAGAAGACTGGACAAGGTGTCAGGAAAGGAGAACAGCAATCAGAGACCAGGTCTTCAGGGGAACGTAAGGATGGCCCCTAAGGATTCATTCTGAGACTGATTACAAGCAATTACGTTACAAACCCAGCCTAGCTCCAGTTGCAAGCAGAAAGGGTTAAAGAAAGGAAGTAAGCATCTAATTGTTCAGTATCAGAGAGATGAGATAAAATCAAAGTTTTAGAAGTGCACTATTGAGATGTCAGATATAACAAGCCGACCTCAACCCAAATACCGCTGATCAGCCATGAAACCCAACGAAGTGCGTGTGAAGATTGGTTCTATCTGTGGAGAGATGCTGTCAGACAGCAAGTGCTCAGGGTAAACGCCCAGGGCAGACCTCAAGAACAGACCCCAAGACACAGCCACTTTCACCTTAGGAAGTTAGGAACATTTCTGCTTTTTATATTGCATTATAAATAACGATTCAACAAATAACTATGGGGTGCTTTCAAAGAGCTAGATGCTGTAAATATATAGGTCATCCATTCAGTCATTTGGTAACTATAATTTAGTATTTACGGTATGCCAAGCACTGTGTCAGAAACAGGATTTCTAGGAGAGGAAGGAATGCTGTGAAAGAAAGGCAGGACTAGGAAAGGAAAGAAAAGAATAAGGAAAAAGGAAGCCGAGTCTCAAGGGAGGATTTTTAATTTTTCCTTGGAGATCCAGAGATTCACTGAAAGATTAGGACGAAGGAACTGAAGGTGGGAGTAGAGTAACAGGGTAGTGAGTCACCAATGGAGCAAAGCCCAAAGGAAATGTGAGGGGAGGAAAGTGGGAAACATCAAGACATGGATTTTCCTTTTAAATTATTTCTAGGCTCATAAGGGAGCTAGCATATGTAAAACTTCTAAAAATATAAAAAATGAGAAATATTTTAACAGAAAATCTAGAGTAAGGATGAGTAACAAAAATGAAGTATGGATGACTTCACGTCGTCTTCTGAGCACAGTAAAAATGTTAGCCAGAATTCTAGAAGAAAGTAGTAGCGCTGCTTGACTGTGAATAAGAAAACCCTCTGGGTAACACAAGGAAACTTCTCATTGTTTAGACTAAGCGGCAGGCGAAGAACTCAGTAGCTCCAAGGCATACTGACTCCGCCGGTCAAAGCGTTAAATCTTTGTGAAGGTCTAAAATGCAACAGAAGTAAAAATCCTAGGTTAAGACATTTAGACAAGTACAGGTTATTTAATCACTTTAAAGTTAAATTTTATTCACATGAACAAAAGGGCAAAGGATGATAGGAGAAGTATTGACAAGAAGACAGTTTTTTATAATAAGCTGTGATCTTTAAGAAACAGGATATGGTAAAAGTAAGGAAGAAAAAACTAACATTGATAAGACAGCTGCTTTGGACAAAGCAAAACAAAACAAAAAGAGAATCTCTGAGAGACCTGAGAAATCAATGTCTGCATTGAAAGCTATTAAGGACAGACTAAACCCACTGCTGCTCAGATCTAATGCACCCCTGATTTTGAATTGAAACCTGGGATGCTCTATTATCCTAAAAACTCCAGGATATTCAAGGACCTTGTCAAGGACATCAACTTGGAAACAGAAACCTAAAACTTTAGTTGCTAAATGCTTGGTGAAGGCTGGTATGCAAAATGTCTTTCTCCGTCTGTGATTAGAATTTTACTCTTTAGGCAGTGGGGAAAGTGACATGATCAAAGTAGCTTTATAGGAAAATTAAGTACAACAGTGACCTATGGAATGAAGGAAGGAAAGAATTGGGAAGACAAAGGCATAAAATGTTATTAAAATCCAGTTGCAACAAGTTAGGAAAAGAAGATCTGTGATGACAGATGAACTGGGGGAAACAGGATTTTGATCTTGGTACACACTTGGATTTGAAAATCAGTGATAAGGGAGACACCAGACAAAACGAATAGTATGACTTTAATATAGTTTGAACAGCTTGGAAAAATTTGTTTTGGAGTGGTAAGGAAGGCTAGAAGATAGATTTTGGTTATTTTATATAAGGGTGCCAAGAAGATATTCAGGTGAAATAGTCACAGGTCACTAGGTTGAGATTCAAAGGTTGAACTGGAGATTCTTTATTTGGGAGTCATCTAAATGGTTCTCAGTTGGGATTAATTTTGTCCCCCAAATGACAGTTAGCAATGTATGGAGACATTTTTGGTTGTCACGACTGGGAAGATGTCGCTATTGTAATCTGGTGGGTAGAAGCCCGTGATGCTGTTGAAATATTCGCATTGTGTAGAACGGCCCCCTACAGCAAAGGATTCTGTGGCACCAAATGTTGATAGTGCCAAGGTTAAGAGACTTTGCTCATAAATGTCATAGTACCTTAGGGTATCTTGGCCAATCAGTGTATATAGTGTATTTATGTTTAACTTTAATTTACAGAAAATAAAAATAGTACCAAACATTTATTAAGCCTTACTTTATTTCACGTGTCGTCCTCACATTACATGGTTCATTTAATCTTTTGAATGCAGTGAGGGATATACCCTTTATCCTCCTTTACAGGTTAGGAAACAGATCCACTGCAAAGTTAGGATACCTGCCAAAAGTCACATAGCTGGTAAATTTGGGGGCCCAGACTGCAATCAAAAAGTCCACTTTCAGAACCATGATTTTAACCACTAAGTTGGAGCATATAATGATGATAGGGATGGTATCGTCAATACCATGGCAGACAAGAGAGAACTACACAGAGCAAAACATTACACTCCCTTCATCCTTCTCTCCAAGCCAAACTAAACCAGATCAAACAAAACAAAAGCACTCTCTCAAATATTAATAGCAATGTCTTTACTCAACACTGAGATTCCATTAGGCCATTGATACATTTGAGACATTGATACATTTGATACATTTTGTCCTGGAGGAGAGTTTCAGGTGGGGCAGGAGAACTTGAACTCTATAGCAGCAGTTTTGACAATCTTAGCATTTTGACATATGATGTGTCCAGATGTACTGTACTTAATTTGTGAGTAATCATCGTATTTTCTTACTTTCCACTATGCTTTTTTGAGTGCTAAAGAAAGATACAAAATTAAAGCTAGTGACATTGGGGGTGTCACTGGATGTTCACATGTAAATGTCACTGTGATTCAGAAAACTGTATTTGTTGAAAATTACCAATTTAATGGTTAGAATATAGTCAACAAAATAAACATTAAATTCCTCAAATTTGACTTTTAAATCCTCTTCTTTAAATATAAATTACACAAACATTTATCTTTTTTTTTTTTTAAAGGTTTTATTTATTTGACACAGAGATAGAGATCACAAGTAGGCAGAGCAGCAGTCAGAGGGAGAAGGAGAAGCAGGCTCCCCACCAAGCAGGGAGCCTGACACAAGTCCTGATCCCAGGACCCCGGGACCATGACCCGAGCCAAAGGCAACCGCCCAATGGACTGAGCCACCCAGGCACCCCATAAACATTTCTCTTTTTATCAAACTAGATATTCAGAGTTTTAGTATGATTTGCTCTCTGTTTGGTCAAGATGCCAAGGGTGAAACACATTTCTTTGAAGTGCAGTGGCTTTCAGATTTTTGAAACAGCGGACTTATTCCTCAAATGAATATTAAGAAATTAAAATATCCAGTGGTGCCTGGGTGGCTCAGTTGGTTAAGCATCTGCCTTTGACTCAGGTCATGATCCCAGGATCCAGGAATCCAGCCGAGTCAAGCTCTCTGCTCCTTCCACACCCACCACCAGCTTGTGCTCTCTCTCTCTCTGTGTCAAATAAATAAATAAAATCTTGAAAGAAAGAAAGAAAGAAAGAGAGAGAGAGAAAGAAAGAAAGAAATCCATAATAAGGAAAGGTAGAAAAGAAAGTGAGAAGTTCTGAAGCCAGAATGGAGAATCTGGGATGGGAGGTAGTTTGGAGGCCAGTTAGGACAAGCTGGGGAAAGGGGCTCCAAAGTTCTAGCCATTTGACATCTACCCATCGGGCAGCATTTTAGGCAACTTTGGAAACTCCATAGAACATAGTTTGAGAAGGATTATCCAATATATTTTAGGGTAATTTAGAAAATAAAATTTTCCTAACTACCTTAAAATCTTATAAGTATATTAAAGTTGCAAGTCTCTTCGTCTGATATTCTAATTAAATTTTGCCTTAAATGTGATATTATCTAATATACATATACATATCATTAAATGCTACATTTTATTTTATGTGTTAAACTTGCATCTTTTTAGTTATAAGTGGTGGACAGTAAGTATCCTGAGGCACTTAATTCTTGCCTCTGCCTGTGGCTTATATTCATCTTTTGACCATTTCTGTCAAAAATGCAAATGTACTTTTTACTGTAAAAAACTAAAGTAAATTATATTTAATAGGCTTTTAAATATAGTTCTCTGACACAACACTTAATTTAACACGGACAATTTTACTCTTTTACACTGTGCTTTGGGAATATTTTTGAGGGATGATGTATTTCTTTTGATTGTTCTCTTATTTTCTGATAAACAGTACTGTAATAAATTTTGATCCTGCCTTTGGTCTCGATATTTAGTAGCTATGTATTTGTTTTCTTTGATAGCAACATGCATTAATATTTATAACCATTTTCCTTTGCAGCATCTCCCAGATGGCTCTGCGCCCAGTGCACATGTTGAATTTTATCTTTTACCATATCCCAGTGAAGTTCGTAGGAGGAAAACAAAATCTGTTCCAAAATGTACCGACCCCACTTATAATGAAATTGTGAGTATGATTCATCTCTTGTCCAGTCGCTTTGTATTTTTCTTACATTTTTTAGTTTAACAACCAAATATGGAAAATTTGCAGTAATTGGCAGCATTATTCCATGAAGGGAAGACATTTCGCAAAATAGCCACTATGTGCTGATCACTGTTCTACATGCTATGGGAACTGGAAAATACAGATTCTGCTTTCAAAGCGCTTATGAACCAATTTTCAAATTGTGGCGTGCCTCCAGCAAGAGCCCAAGATGGCTTTTTTTTTTTTCTCCCTAACATTACCCCTGACTTCATCTTATTTTCTCTAACCTTATTTTCTTTTACCTGCTCTTCCTTACTGAATAATTTTATCACAGTCTATCCTGTGTATAACAATAAACTTCATAAAATCTCCTTTGAAAAACAAAAGAAAATAAACAAGTACAAAGCACAAATTAAATTAACTTATATATAGTTCTCTAATTCATTTGTATTCCACAATTTAAATATCCAATCCCGTACTCCTTTCTGAGGCAAACCTGTATTTATTCTCTTGATTCCATCCCTTCCCATTTCTTCTTTACCTTGCTCGGATGATTATTTGTTTGCCGTTCTTAAGGCTGTCTCATCCACTGGATCCTCAGGTCAGAAATCATAAAAAACAAACAAACAAACAAACAAAAAAAACCTCCTCAACTCAGCCTTTCTAAAGCATCCGTATTTTCTTTCCTTCCCTATCACACCCAAACTTTTGCAAAACTTGGGACGCTGAAGTGGTCCAGTTGGTTAAACTCAGTTCTCCTGGGATGGAGTCTGGCATGGGGCTCTCTGCTCAGTGGGGAGCCTGCTTCTCCTTCTCCTCCCCGCTTGCTCTTGATCTCTGTCCCTATCCCTGTCTCTCTGTCTCAAATGAACAAATAAAAAAATCTTAAAAAAAAAAAAAAGCACTTGAAAAAGTGACTCACATTTCCTGCTCTCACTTCATTGCTTCCTTTTCATCCTTCAATCCTTTGCAATGTGGATTCTGAACCTCATTGATGCCACTTTCTTAGAATGACACCCATGACTGCTAATGGCTTAATCTAATGAGCCCTCTACTCTCCTGAATAGTTACACAGCTGCGTTGCTGGGTGCCCCCTCTTTCTGACACCTCCTTTTTGCTCGAGTCTTATCTTCTCTTAAAGCTCCCTTCCATTTTCTCTGACCGCTCACTCAATTGCCTTCATTGCCGTTCCTCTTCCGAAAAATATTGTTGTTTGTTGGAGTTCCACAATCTATCCTTTTCCTCATGATATATTGTCTTTCGAAATTATCTTATATACCTACAATTTTCATTTTACACTTCTGTGTAGGTTGCATCTGAATTTATTCCTCCAACCCTGGCTTCTGTCCTAACCTTCTGTCCTGCACTTCTGAGTGTTACTGAAGAGCGATCCATCAGAATGTCTGCTAGACACTTTTAAACCAGGCTTCCCTCCTCTACTTGCCATCTCAAAAGATATGTTCTAATGACACCACCCTCTCTCTCACTCATTTTTCCAACTAATCACCAAGTTTTGTCAGCTTAACACTTTGTCACGTGTGCAGCCACCTGCCTCTTGAATCCATCACCTTCTGTCTGCCCCATAGCTGTGACTTTGGCTATTATACAATAGCCTCCTATCTGCCTCTTGTGTTTCTCAGTTGAACAATTCATATTTCTATCTAAGATGTCTTTCAAAAACGAGTCATATTTATTTCTCTACTATTTAATTTTTTTTTCCCAAAGACTCTTCACTGCCTACTGGATAATGTACAGAATACTAAATGTGACAATGATAGCCCTTAAAATGTGACCCGGTAGCTTTCCTGAGTTGTCTCTTGGCTCATACCATCTTCATATACTTAAAAAAAAATTGTTTTGAGATCCTTGTAGAGTCATATGCAGTTGGAAGCAGTAATACACAGAGAATTCAAACAACCTTTAGCTACTTTCCCTCAATGGTAACATCTCGTTTGACTACAGTACAATATCACAACCTGGAAATTGACATTGGTGCAATTCACTGGCCTTAATGAGATTTCATTAGTTTTACATGTGTTCCTGTGTATTTGGTTCTATGCATTATTTATTTTAATCCTGTTAATTCTGTGCATTTATATCATGTGAGTAGATTTGTGTGACCATCACCACAGTCTTGGTACAGAAGAGTTCCATCACAAGGATACCTGGTGCTACCCTTTTATAGCCACAGACACTTCCCGCCCTCTAATGCCCACTCCATCCCCAGTCACTGGCTACTAGTACTCTGTTCTCCATCTTTATAATTTTGTCATTTCAAATGTTATATAAATGGAATCATACAGTGTGTAACATTTTGAGATTGGCTTTTTTCACTCACCATAACTCCCCAGCAATCCATGCAAGAAGGTGCCTGTATCAATAGCTTGTTTTTTTCCACTGTTGAATCATAGTCGGGTATGGAAGTCTGACATTTCCTTTAACTGTTCACCTATTAAAGGATATCTGGGTTATTTCTGGCTTGGGCTATTGCAAACAAAGCTGTTGTGAACAGTGATATATAGATTTCTGCGTAAACATAAGTTGTAATTTCTCTAATATAAATGCTTAAGATGTAATTACTGGAATATATGGCAGTTTTATTAAAAAAAAATTGCCATACTCTTTTTCTAAACCAATTTACCTCCCACCAGCAATGTATCTATTTTCTATAAATCTTTGCCATTTGTTATTATTTAGTATTTGTTATTTTTGTTATCATTTGATATTATTTGTTTGTTATTTGTTATTATTTGTAACAAATTTGTTATTATTACAATTATTTAGTTCTTTTGACAGGTATAGACTGATACTTCATTGTGGTTTTAATTTGCATTTACCAAATAACTAATGATCTGAACTTCTGGTCATGTATTTTTTTACCATCCTCTTCGGTGAAATGTCTCTTCATGTCTTTGCTCATTTGCTAATTGGATAATTTGCATTTTTACTGCTGAGTTTTGAGAGTTCTTTGTATGTTATGGACAGTAGTCCTTTGTCAGATAAGTGGTTTACAAATACTTTCCACCTATCTGTAGCTTGTCTTTTCATCCCCTTCTCAGGGTCTTTCAAATTAAAAGTTTTTAATTTTGATTTTGTATAATTTATCCATTTTTACTTTTATAGACTACAAGTCTAAGAACTCTTCACCCTGCACAAAGTCCTAAAGATTTTCTCTTATAGTTTTTCTAAATGTTTTATAGTTTTACAATTTTATATTTAAGCTCATTATCCATTTTGAGTTAATTTTTTAATAAAATGTGAAGTTTAGGTTGGAGTTCACTTTTTTTTTTTTTTAACCTGTGAATGCCAATTACTACAGAACTGTTTATTGAAAAAGCAATGCAATGAATGTCTCTTGTACCTTTGTCAAAAATAAGTCAGGGGAGCGCCTGGGTGGTTCAGTGGGTTGGGGCCTCTGCCTTCAGCTCGGGTTGTGATCCCAGGGTCCTGGGATCCAGCCCCCCCGCGTTAGGCTCTCTGCTCAGCGGGGAGCCTGCTTCCCTCTCTCTCTCTGCCTGCCTCTCTACCTACTTGTGATCTCTGTCAAATAAATAAATAAAATCGTAAAAAAAAAAAAAAGTCAGGAATATTTGTGTCATCATGACCTTTTATTTCCTCACACCTAATCATATTCTCAAGTCACATAAGACAACTTTTCATCCCCTGAATAGTCCCTATGACCTCTGAGATGGAACTCATGCCCTTCACCCTTTCTGTTCTTCTGTTCCAACTTTAAAGCTTACCTCAGATGTGGACTTTGTGTACCACTCTTTCCTCCTCAACTCTTACATCACACTAAACCATCTTATACTTAGTCCTACATGCTTTTTTCTTCTAGTAAATTGTAAATTTCTTGAGGATGAGGAAAATACCTTATCTTCTTAGTATCTTTAAAACTTAGTTGTTTCTAAAAAGATGTGTGAATTAAATATTTGGGGTAGTTTTATAAGTGATGCTTCATATGCATATGTAAAAATGTAAAATTAGGGTGCCTGGGTGGCTCGGCTGGTTAAGCAACTGCCTTTGACTCAGGTCATGATCTCAGAGTACTGGGATCAAGTCCCACATCAGGCTCTCTGCTCAGTAGGGAGTCTGTTTCTCCCTCTGACCCTCCCCTCTCATGCTCTCTCTCGCTCTCTCTCTCTCAAATAAATAAATAAAATCTTTAAAAAAATGTAAAATTGTATATATACATATATATATTTACACATATAATTTAGTAAGGAAAGATATTTTGACATTTTATTATTTTCATAATGTCACTAGATAGAGATATACCCTCCCAGTTGTATATCATTAGCTTCCATATGTTTTGAGTACAAGACCCCCTACATCAATATCAAGAAATTTCTCCAGACTTAATGTTGTGCTTCATCATTTGTAATCTCAGGGTGGTCCTAATGACGAAAAGCCACTAGCAATTCAAGAGTTTAAGTAAACTGGTATTTCATTTATTTCAGGCTATATGTGTTATTTAAGAAAAATTAGCAAATACACATGCTTGGAGATTATTTTATAATGCTTATTGTATCCATAAGTTTTCTAACAACTTGCAGTAACACTAGCTCCTCCAGCATTCATGGGCCATTGGTCAGAAATCACTGCAATACTTTCTTCATCAACCAACACTTGTAGCTTGGACACACATTGTTTATACTTTGAACACCTTCAAAAATTGCTTCAAAAACAATAGTCCATAGTCCATGCTTAATACACTTCAATTTATACATAACCCAAATGAGTGGAAATGTGAGTTAATATGCAGATAAGTGAGTATTTTTAGTAGTAATTATCATCATATAAACAAGTTTGGTGGGGAAGCTGGTTGAATTTAAAAAGCCATGAGAAAAAAAGACAACAATATTTTCATTTTTCTCCCATTATGTTCTGGATTCCTATCAATACAACAAGAATCTCTACTTATAAGAAATGTGAGGATATAGGTTTCATCTCTATGCCAAATCCCTCAATTATTCCAGAGCACCCTCACCAACAATGTATATGTGTTTTCTAGGAAGCCCAGTAAATTTCACATGACATCCCCCTTATTTTTCACTTCTCCCCAGCTTTGCTTCCTGAGCAGTGCTGTCCCAGCCACTCGGTATGACTGGGATTTCTCAAACTGCCAAAGTAGTCCAATGTTCTGGGAAGTAGGAGAGAATGACCTCACTCTTCTTTTTATATAAATCTCTTAAAGGAATACAAAGGACATATTACATTGCATCACCAATGTCTTACGAAGCTTTTCATGAGAATAATTCTTTCCATTTTTATTAAGAGCTCTCTCTCTCTCCCTAATACCCAGACTGAGTAAGGCTGCGAGCAGGGACACTGCCAAGGGTTCCTTTCATATCCACTCTTCAGATGCTAAACTTTTTTGATACAGAGCCAAGCTTGTCTATTTGACACTTCCCAGAGTGATTCCCAACAGACTTTGTCAGCAGTCTCCCTGAAAACCCCTGTCATATACAAATCCCTGTTGTAGACATGACTGGGCTGCAGGGGTGGAGTGGCAGTAGGAATGCTCACAACACTGCCTAGGGCTTGTACGAAGCAGAGCGGGGACTCTGGCTCCAATGCCATTGCTCTTCCCACTCTATTATCTTTGGCATCTGGTTAAAAACCATCATTTTTTTTTCAATGATTCTTTAGAAATACAGATTCTACTTTATAACAGAATTATATTGTTAGAATTCACTTATTTTTTACATTGTATTCCTTTCTTAAATATTATTCTCTTATAAAATAAAAAGAAGAAATTAGAAAAGACACTAGAACAGGAGCATTCTCTGTGTTTGACATACCTTATAGCATCTTGCAGAATGTGCATGATTATCTAAGAGCACAAGTATATGGTGTATTCAGCAAGCCATAGCCAATGTTATCTGTATCATTCTCTCATTTGATGTTCATAACATGAGGAAAATTCTATTTGTAAGTGAAGACATTGAGATCCTGATGCCAAACATTTCAATCAGGGTCAAGCAACTAGTTTTCAAGTCCAGAACTGCCAGAGTCCAAAACCCATTGTGACCCCACTGAGTTATGCTGTTGTCCTTCCCTCTCTCCACCCACAGAGTTCTCCCATTCTCACTTATTTTGAACTCTCCTTTTCATTATCCTGCCTCCTCACTTCCCTTCCCCCCAGCACTAGACATGTTTCAGTTTCCATGTTATTGTTCTTCCACTGACGTCTAAATACACTGTAGAATTATTTACTATACCCTCATGTCAAATAACATGCAGTGAATGCTTGTATACAAGTTACCAGATATTAATTACCCTAAACAAAGTTTTTCCTTTTGATGTAATAATTTCAAACCTACAAATTCCGTATTTGTCGGAAGACATTGAAGACTTGGTGCATGCCTATGGGTAAAAAGCATTTTGAAGTGAAATTGAAAAAGCTGTGCATTTTGGTTCTATTCATGTGAAAAAAGAATACATTTTAAAATATTTGGTGAAAAAGTCTCAAAGACTTTGTGCACTTTGTTAGCATTACCCACTAATTATTCATTACACAGTAAGAAAAGAGTGATTTTTTTTTCCTTTCTTATTTATGTCTAAGTTTTCATTTAAATTCCAGTTAGTTGGGTGCCTGGGTGGCTCAGTGGGTTAAAGCCTCTGCCTTCGGCTCAGGTCATGACCCCAGGGTCCTAGGATCGAGCCCCACATCGGGCTCTCTGCTCAGCAGGGAGCCTGCTTCCCCCTCTCTCTGCCTCTGCCTGCCTCTCTGCCTACTTGTGATCTCTGTCAAATAAATAAATAAGATCTATTTAAATAAATAAATAAATAAATAAATTCCAGTTTGTTAACATACAAAGTAGTATTAGCTTCAGGTGTACGATACAGTGATTCAACACTTTTATACATCACCTGGTGCTCATCACAAGTAGGATCAGTAATCTTTTTAACAGTGTTATGGATTCAGTAAAGCAATTAAAATAGATATATATCACCTATGATGTGCAATAATTACATGTTTAAAAAACTTGTTACTTCTAAGAAAATAATTTTTGCATAATGAAACACAGGGAAAGAAATCCATAAGTTAATATAACCTCTGGAGTTCAAATGTTTGTATTTTAACCAGAAAGGCAATTAATTCTTCAAGTAATTTCTTGAGAATTTCAGCTTGCTAAATACCAGGGAGATTCAACTCTGAATGGAACTCTTTCCTCCAGTCAACTAATGCAAAATACCAAGAAACAGCTGTTCTTTGTGTATTTGATGGATTTTTTTTTTGGTATAACTTATTAGTGTTCAGTATGTGCCAGGCTTTGTAGTAAGGCTTACATTCATTATCTCACTTATTCTTCCCCACAATGCTAAAAGGCAAATATTATTATCACCATTATGTAAATGAGAAAACATATAGTTGACAATAGATTGAAATAAGTATAAATTAAATGTCATAGAAATTTATATCTTTAGAGCCTATTTATATGATTCACAGTTCTTAAACCAGACTTTCACAAAACACTAATGCCTAGAGTTATACCATTTTTCTACTTCATGTACAGTAACACTTTGAGGGCCCCTTCATCTATTTGCTCTGTAAAATAAATGACTTTGTCTGCTGAAAGTGTTGTGGGGAGGAAAATGGAGGACACTTTAGACAGTTCAAAATAGCCGCTGTAGAGAAAAGGAAAAGGAACTTACTCTGAAGTCTTGGAAAGATAAGAGTCCATGAGGAGACATGGCTCACAGAGTCCACACTGGGCATCCCACTGCTATTAAAGAAGATGAATTAAAGCAGTAGGGTTTTGAGATTTTTAAGGTAGCCCTTAAAATCCCTTACTATCCCAGGGGAACTCAATAAATGGAATGGAATAATTTCAATCCCTAGTCCTAAGAAACTTAAAAGATAATCTCGTGTCTGGAATGAGAGTAGGATTCTAGAAGAGGAGGGAGCCAGGAGCTGTCACGTGAAGCAGGGTAAACTGGATTAACATAGTATATTGCATCTCATGTCCCTTGACTGAATTGTTATTTACTTCATAAGTAAGTCCTTGTTCAGAAGAGCTCTCAGATTGATCTTGAATGGAATTCCACTGGTAACGTTGTGAGTTCTTAAATGGTAGACAAATGCAATGCAGTGGGTCAGAAACCATATCCATACACACTGAGGAGACCTCCAAACTGACTCAAAGGGCTTCCCTCTCAAGTTATTCCTCCGCTTTTTTTTTTTTTTTGCATATATAGAGAACACTGCTTTCTGTCTTGTAGCGTGGCTATAAAAAGCAAGCAAGTTTGTAGCAGCATATGAAACTCCTCTTTTAAATGTGTTTTAAGGAGTTTCCCTGGCAACCATGCTGGATTTATACACAGCTGTCCCCTCCCCTTCATGATGGGAAACTAATTTCTTGATAGTACTACACTTTTGAAGTTTCTTTACTACTGTAGGCACTTGATGGTAATGCCCATGACTTAGTTCCTTTATATTATAGAACACAGCTAAACAGATCCCTTTTTAGAAACTAGTTACATGACTAGCAATGAAAAAGAGCAAGACACAAAACTGTACATACAGCAAAATTACAGTTCAGATTCTTACAAAGTAATTATATATGTAAAACAAAAAGCACACTGAAATGTTAACTATAATTATCTCCCAGTGGTGGAAATATAGACTTTCCTTTCTTTTTTGTTTCATACATATTTTATTTAATAAGCGTGTGTTTTCATAATTAAAAATTAAACCATTTTAAATATATTAAAGTAAGCATAGAATGAATTCTTCATATGTAAATAGAAATACTGTTATACTGCACTAAATTAACATAAGGAAATCATGGAGATTGGTCTGCTCTCCTCATTAGTCTTCAGCAAAGAAAGATAGTGTTCAAGGCCCCATGTTGCACAATAAATCCAAGGACAGTTAAATATGATAGGTACTTAAATTTCTTCTTAGAGAATAATTTACAGTCATATTAAATTTGGGATGGACAATTATTAATGGAATCAGAATAAGTTCTAAGCTTCTTAGAGAAATATTCTGTCATTAAACTCCATTATGTTAGCAGAATCTTTAGCTTTCCAGAATTCAAGTTCAACATGACAGATTCTACATTAACCTATCTGTTCCAAGCTAAATGATATGAATAGCTAAATATTTTTATTAAAAGTAATACTTTTAAAGGTGCATTTAAACATATCTGATTTATACTTTAATTATTCTCTCTGTTTTCAGGTGGTGTATGATGAAGTCACAGAGCTCCGAGGACATGTCTTAATGCTTATTGTGAAGAGCAAAACCGTATTTGTGGGAGCAATTAACATCCAACTTTATAGTGTCCCTCTCAATGAAGAAAAATGGTACCCACTAGGAAACTGTATAATTTGACCATTTCTATCAACCAATGCATTATTCATTAACTACTTATATCTTTTTCCACTTCTAAGCCTCTCTATCACAAGAGCAGGACATTTTTGTTTTCAAAGATAGCTTAGTGTACCAAGGACACAAGAAAAAGAAATAAGAATAGTCTTTTATAGTTATATATTCTCTACTTGTGTTTCATTATTTTCTTAGAATCTTTTCTCCTTAATAAAGTACAAATTTATTGTGTAAAATTCAATATGTAAAATAATAACAACATTTAATTTTGATACATCTTTTAAATCAAATATGTGTTCACATCTTTTAATTGTGTACCTATGGTTATAGCAACACTGTTAACGTGGTTTCCAAGAAATACAGCAATAAATAAATCTCATCAATTAATTCAAGACCTAAGTATATTTGTAACAAATTTTTGAACTTGAATTAAATATATATACCTGTGTACTGACTTACACTCCTATTTATTGAGGGAATTAATAAGCTCTAGCTTTTCTATCAGAAAAAAACAGGGGATAAATGCTTAAATTTTTTTAAAAGATTTTATTTATTTATTTGACAGAGAGAGAGAGATCACAAGTAGGCGGAGAGGCAGGCAGAGAGAGAGAGGGGGAAGCAGGCTCCCTGCTGAACAGAGAACCCCATGTGGGGCTCGATCCCAGGACCCTGAGATCATGAACTGAGCCGAAGGCAGAGGCTAACCCCACTGAGCCACCCAGGCGCCCCCTGAAAATTCTTAAATCAAATTTTTGGAAGAAACTTCTTAGTATTATCTTACCCTTTTCAATGTCAATCAATTAATCACCACTGGATTTCACCCAACTATAGGAATGATCACATTTTAAATTTCATTACCTCTTAACTCTAAGATGTTACAGTTAAACTCTCCCCTCTGATCAAAACCTCTTCTCTTTGCACATCAAGAATTTCTTTTATTTCTGAAGCTACTTTCATACCCATCATGATCTGAGTAGACAGTCTTACAGATTTCTACCTGCAAAGTAGGTACAACTCAAAGAACTGTGCCTCATTCTTTAAGAGAATCAAATAGGAGTTCTTTTTTAGTGTCTGCCATTTAAATTACTAAGGAAAAAAATGTTCAATTTTTGCTTTTTTTTCAATGTTTCACTGTGAATGAATAAAAAAGTAATTTAAGCTCTTCTATATGGTCATCTACATAATGAGTAAACATGTAAGGGACTGTAAATTTGAAAATATTTGAGTGCCAGCCTACAACAGGCAGAGAGACAGTGCAGACAACTGCACTGAAGGGAAAACAAACTTGTCAATCACAAGAAAAAATCTGGGGAAAACCACAAATACATGGACGTTAAATCAATGAGTCGAACAGGAGATGACAGAAAAACTTTTTAAAAATACATAGAAATAAATGAAAGTGAAAACATAGTGGTCTGAAACCTTTGGGATGCAGCAAAAGCGGTTCTAAGAGAGAAGTTTATAGCAACAGAGCATTACCTCAAGAAGCAAGAAAAATCTCCTAAAGGAGCCACAAAAAGAATAACAAAAATCTAAAACCAGCAGAAGAAAATAATAGACTAGAGCAAAGGTGGTATAAAAACTAAATCAAAAGAGTGGATCAATGAAACCAGGAGATGCTTCTTTGAAAAAAAATTGAGAAAACTGATAAACCTCTAGTCAAATTTATGAATAAAAAAAGAGAAAGGACTCAAATAAATCACAAATGATAAAGGAGAAATAACAAACACCACAGAAATGCAAATCATTATAAGATAATTTTATGAAAAACAATATACCAACAAATTGGACAACCTAGAAGAAAAGGATAAATTCCTAGAAATACATAAACTACCAAAACTGAAACAAGAAGAAATAAAAAATTTGAACAGACAGATAACCAGCCAAGTAATTACATCAGTAATCAAAATAACTCCCAACAAACAAAAGTCCTGGACCAGATGGCTTCACAGATGAATTCTACTGAATGTTTAAAGAGGTGTTAATACCTATTCTTCTCAAACTATTCCAAAAAATTGAAAAAGAAGGAAAACTCAAATTCATTCTCTGAGGCCAGGATTACTCTGATTCCAAAACCAGATAAAGACAGCACTAAAAAGGAGAACTACAAGACAGTATCCCTCATGAACATAGTTGTAAAAATCCTCAACAAAATACTAGCAAACAAATCCAACAATACATTTAAAAAAGTCATTCACCATGATCAAGTGGGATTTATTCCTAGGTTGCAAGGGTGGTTCAATATTTGCAAATCAATAAGCATGATACATCACATCAATAAGAGAAAATATAAGAATCATATGATCATTTCAACAGATGCAGATAAAGCTTTTGACAAAGTACAACATCCATTCAGAATAAAACCTCCAACAAAGTTTAGAGGGCCATCTATGAATACCTCACAGCTGCATCGTCCTCAATGGGGAAAAGCTGAGAACTTTCCCCTAAGGTCAGGAACAAGACAAGGACGTCCACCCTCACCACTTTACCTCAACATAGTACTGGAAGTCCTCGCCACAGCAATCAGACAACAAAAAGAAATAAAAGGCATCTAAATCAGAAGAAGTAAAACTTTCACTATTCACAGGTGACATGATTCTCTATGTAAAAAACCTAAAAGACTCCACCAAAGAACTGCTAGAACTGATCAATGAATTTAATAAAGTAACAGGTTACAAAATCAACATACAGAAATCTGTTCCAAAACTGTACAGCAATAATGAAGCAGCAGAGAGAGAAATTAAGAAAACAATCCCCTTTGCAATTGCACCAAAAATGATAAGATACGTAGGAGTAATTCTAACCAAAGAGGTGAAAGACCTGTACTCTAAAAAGTATAAAAAACTGATGAAAGAAATTAAAGGTGACATAAAGAAATGGAAAAACATTCCATACTCATGGATTAGAAGAACAAATATTTTTAAAATATCTATACTACCAAATGCAATCTACATGTTCAATCTAATCCCTATCAAAATACCACTAGCATTTTTCACAGAGCTAGAATAAACAGTCCTAAAATTTGTATGGAGCCACAAAAGATTCCAAATAGCCAAAGCAATCCTGAAAAAGAAAAGCAAAGCTAAAGGCATCACAATTTCAGACTTCAAGTGATATTACAAAGCCGTAGTAATTAAAACAATATGGCATTGACACAAAATCAATAGAACAGAATAGAAAACTCAGAAATAAACCCACAACTTTATGGTCAACAAATCTTTGACAAGCAGGAAAGAATATCCAATGGGAAAAGGACGCTCTCTTCAACAAATGGTGTTGGGAAAACTGGACAGCTATATATGGAAGAATGAAACGATCACTTTCTTAAACCATACACAAAAATAAATTCAAAATGGATTAAAAACCTAAATATGAGACCTGAAACCATAAAAATCCTAGAAAAGAACTCAGGCAGTAACCTCTTTGACATCAGCCATAGCAACTTCTTTGTAAATCTGTCTCCTAAGGCAGGGGAAACAAAAGCAAAAATAAACTGCTAGGATTTTATCAAAAGCTTCTGCACAGTGAAGGAAACAATCAATGAAACTAAAAAGCAACCTACGGAACCGGAGAAGGTATTTGTAAATGACATATCTGATAAAGGGTCAGTACCCAAAATATATAAAGAACTTATAAAACTCAACACCCCCAAAACAAATAATCCAGTTAAAAATTGGGCAGAAAACATGAACAGACATATCTCTAAAGACGTACAGATGGCCAACAGACACATGAAAAGATGTTCATCATCATTCATCTTCAGGGAAATGCAAATCACAACTACAATAAGAGATCACACTCCCCCTATCAGAATGGCTAAAATCAACAACACAAAAAACAACAGGTGTTGGTGAGGATGTGAAGAAAAAGGAACACTCATGCTCTATTGGTAGGAATGCAAACTTGTATAACCATTGTGGAAACCAGTATGGAGGTTCTTTGAAAAATTAAAAATAGAACTACCCTGTGATCCAACAACTGCACTACCAGGTATTTACCCAAAGAATACAAAAATACTAATTCAAAGGGATACATTTACCTCTATGTTTATTGCAGCATTGTTTACATTAATAGCCAAGATATGGAAACAATTGTCCATCGATTGATGAATGAATAAAAAAGATTATATAGATAGATAGAGAGAGAGAGAGAGAGAATGAAATATTATTCAGCCATAAAAAAGAATGAAATCTTTCCAAAGCTAGAGAAAGCTATGTCATGGATGGGGCTAGAGAGTGTAATGCTAAGTGAAGTAAGTCAATCAGAGAAAGACAAATACCATATCATTTCACTCATATGTGGAATTTAGGAAACAAAACAAACAAGCAAAGGGGAAAAAAGAGACAGAAACAAATACAGAAACAGACTATTAATTACAGAGAACAAACTGATGGTTACCAAGGAGGAGGGTGATGGAGGGGGGGAGTGGCTTAAATAGGTGATGGGGATTAAGGAGTGCACTTGTGATGAGCAATGGATGATGTATGGAATTGTTGAATTACTATACTGTACCCCTGAAACTAATATAATACTGTATATTAGCTAACTGGATTTTTAAAAAAAACTTACAGAAAATATTTGAGTGTCTGATATGAGTTAATGTGATGCCATTTAAAATGCATGATCATGCTAGTCAAGTAAGTCATCAGTGCTGCTGGGCAATCACTGTTTCCAAGTCCCTTCACTCTCCCTTTCTGCCAGACAATGACTATAAGTTCTTCTCTCTGCTGAAAGCCTAGCACATTCTACCCCAATCCTTTCTTTCAGCTGATGTTTCCTACTTCACTTAGAAATTAGAATCAGTCAAAAGACCTCTACAGAGTCCACTATGGTGTCTACCCACCAAGCAGATCCTATGTCCCTCCTTCCTACCTATTACCATAGGAAAACTACCTATGCTCCTGCACAAAACCAACCTCTCAACTTTTACATATGATCCCAACCTGTCCACCTGTTCACAAATGTTACTGGAATTCTCTTCTCAAAAACATCTTTCTTTATTTGCTACTAGGGAGAATTCCCTTCAGCATAAAATCATGATGTGCATGGTTACATAGTGTTACCACCTTTATAAGAAAAAAATATATCAGCACCCTCCTTCCTCTTTTAAATAGTTATCCATTGCCTATTCCTCTTTGTAGCAAAACTCTTCAAAAACAGTTTACTTGGTCTCTGGTTTCTCTGCTTGCACTTTTCCTCAGACCCATTCCAAGGAGGTATTTGCCCTGAACACTTCACCAAAACTACTTCTATCAAAGTCTCTACTGACTTTCACACAGCTAAATCCAAAGGTCAATTTTCAGCTCTAATCTGACCTTTCGTGTCAGCAGTATTTGACACAATCAGTAATTCTATCTTCCTCAGTATTCCTTCTTCACTTGGCTTCCAGAACACCCACATTCTCTTGTGCTTCTTTTCTATAACATTGGTCACTGCTTGTCAGTTTTCTCTGCAAGAGCATCATCTTCTCCACAACCTCCAATGTTGGTATGACCCAGAGCTCTCTCCTGGGTCCTCTTCTCCATCAA